CGCGTACCCCGCTCTCCCCCCCCCCCCCCACGGTGGTGATTTCTCACTTTCTGTCTCTTTCTTGTTTGTCTGTCTGTCTGTCTGTCTCTCTCTCTCTCTCTCTCTCTGGCGAGTCCACATGCCCTATAGCCAAAACTAAAAACACTCTCAAAAGAATGGTACATTTTCATTCAAAACCTTTAATGTTGTACTCATGGTAGAGTCAACACTTGATCCTTAAAAAGATTACAATGGCATCAAAAGAACAGAATCTGAAAAATACAATACCAATTATAAGCTGTCATCTCATAACTCAAGATTCTCCAAAGATAAAAATTATTAAAATGGGGACAGATGGTTACGGCAGTTAGATCTCATAGGGCCAACTCAAATCTAGAACCTGGCATCTTGAAAAATATGCTGGGCTCCTGTGTGTGTACATACACAAAATTCCAACAGGAGGAATTGAAAAGGGATTACGACCTGATTATCACCCCCTGGAGGTTGCTTTCTTACTTTCCCTCTCTTTCTGTCTCTTTCTGGCATGCACTCTAGTAAATTAAGAAAAATAACCTATCTTTACAGGACCGGCAGGTGGCATGGTGGTTAAAGGCGCTGGATTTCCACATGGCCAATTATGCTTCAAGTCCCAGACCTGGTGGCTTGCTTTCTCCCTTCCCCTTTCTCTCTCTCTCTCTCTCTCTCTGGTCAAATTAACAAATAATAATATCACATAAAATTAAATAAATTCTGTTTTTTAAAAAATGAACCTATCTTTTTTTTTCTTTATTCGTGATAGGGCACATGTGCACACATTTGAGGGTGACAGGGAGGGAGGGATAGAGGAACATTCTACATGGGGCCTAGTCATACATTAATCCCACTCCTCCAGCTCCTCAGATCCTGGGTACTCATTTGTGCATGCAGCACATCTTGGGCTGACTGGGCCAGGGATTCAAACTGCATTCACCATATGGATCTAGCTTCTCTTGAACAACGCACTGCTGCTATGCCACAGAGCAGAGCCTCTTTCTTTATTAACTCTTATTAGCCTTTGGAGAAACTGACCCAAAAATCTTTCCATTTCTGGTTAAAATTTTCAGCATTGGGAACCAGCAGTTAGCATAATGGCTATGTCGCTGGACTCCCACGTAGTCGACCACAGTTCGCGTCCCGGACCTGGTGGCTTTAAACTCACGCCGGGCGCGTGTGCGTGCATGCCCAAGATCCCAACAGGAGAATGAAGGAGAAGGGATTGCAGCATGACCATCCCCCCTGGGGGGTGATTTCTCACTTTCTGTCTCTCTGTCTCTGTCTGTCTGTCTGGTGAGCAGACGCGCCCTATAGCGAAAACCTCTCAAAAAAAATTTTTTTTCAGCATTAATCTAGATTTGCCTCCTGACTTCTCACTACCATGCTCAGTTTTACAGCCATTTTCCATTGGCAAAGATCAGAATTCGATTACTGCAATCAGTATGCCGGCACTTCAGCAACACTAAAATTAGCCTAGTTTTAAAGACTAAAAGAAAAGCATTTCAAAGAAAAAACTGGCAGCTCCAAGAAGACACATAACGTATATTCTGTTGCTAAGTTACTGGCCAGTGTATAGTACTACGAGAATGCCATGACATAGGTAATCAAGCTACATAAGGATATCACTAAGTATTAAAAAGAAAGGAGACAGGCCAGCAGATGGCGTGGTGGTGATGATGCTGGATTCCCACATGGCTGAGTGTAGTTCAAGTCCCAGACTTGGCAGCTTTAAAATCACACTGGGTATGCATAAAGTTCACTTGACTCTTTTCAATAAAAGGAAAAAGAATTACTAATACAATCAGATTAGATAAACACATTAAAACTATATTAATGCCCAATTAACAGAATGAAATAATCTTGTCAATTAGATTTTAGTCTCAAATTTCTTAAGGGCTATGCATTCTAGCTATGTCTCCTTGAACACAGTACTCATGAAGACTAGAAAGAGCAAGTAAGAGGTTTCAAACATGGAATATTAGTTAAGAAATCAACTGCTCAAACACATCCAAATATAATAATGGTGGGGAGGGTGGTAATCACACAACTAAATTTAGAATTTCCTTAACCTTATCCCTGAGAGAGCACAACAATCATACAGAGGAGATTTTTTCCCCCTGAAATAAAAAGGTTACAGATGCTTAAAGCAATATGGCAAGAAAAATTCATGCTAAGACTAAGTCCAAAATTACAAAAACCATTCTGAACTAGACAGATCATTTTATTTACACAAATGTTAAAATCTGCCAAATAATAATGACATAGCACACCACTTACAAAACCTCAAGCTTAAATACTGGTCTACAATAAAAACTCTTATTTGACAGCCCATCTTCCAATAAAAATATCAAGTCACCATGAAAAGTATCTGGTCTCGGGACCAGCAGAGACATAATGGTTATATCGCTGAATTCCCATGTAGTCGACCGCAGTTAGAATCCCAGACCCAGTGGCTTAAAACCCACACTGGGCACATGTGCGTATGTGCCCAAGATCCTGTGAGGAGAAGGGATTGTGGTGTGGCCATCCCCTCTAGGGAGTGAGTTCTCTCTTTCTGTTTATCTCTCTCTGTCTCCTCGGCAAGCGCACGCGCCATATAGCAAAAAACTTATCTCTCTAAAAAAGCATCTCGTCTGAATCTAACTTAAATTCTCCAATAAATTAAAGGATATAACAGAATAACTACTTAATGGTTAAAGAAATCTAGTTAATATTATCTGAAACAGTCAGCGAGTAGATGAAAACTGGCAACAAGTGAACATTAGAGCTATGTACCCACAACTTAAAATAATTCAATCTTCAACTTTCAAACTATACTTAAATCTCTAAATATAATTACAGCAGAAATGGCTCATTTTCCTATATTGGGAGAAAACCATTTTCGTGAATTTATTCTATCATATGCCTTTATTCATGATAGAATGTGTGTATGTACACATGAGAGTGAGAGAATGAAGGGAGAAAAAGAAGTACCCTCTACAGCAGGGATCCCACCAGTCCATGGCCTGTTAGGAACTGGATGATACAGCAGGAGTTGAGCAGTGGGCAAGCCAAATGAGTCAAGCTTCATCTGTATTTATAGCATCTCCCCATCACTAGCACTACTGCCTGAGTTTCACGTCCTGTCAGATCAGCGGTGGCATTAGATCCTCAAAGGAGTCCCCTGGATGGGACCATCTAGTTGGAAGAAAGCAAGCTCAGGGCTCCCACTATTTCTGCATTATGGCAAATTGTATAATTATTTCATTATATATATTACAAGGTAATGATAATAGAAACAAAAGGGTAAAATCAATGTAATATGCATGAATCATCCTGAAACTATCTCCCTCCCCCAAGTCCATGAAAAAACTGTCTTCCACAAAACTAGTCCTGGTGCCAAAAAGGTTGGGGACCACTGCTCAACCGGGCCTGGTCATATCACATTCCTCTTCCTCCAATCCTCCAACTCATGGGATCCTAGGCACTATCACACTTGACCAGCATATTTCAGGCTGACTGGGATGGAGACGCAAACTGCATTCACCTTCTTCTCTTGAACAGCATGTTAACAAAGCAACACATTACCAATGCGCCACAGAGCTAAAACCGATTTATTTTTTTAGAGTAGCATTTACAATTAAAAGTATTTTGATTTGGGACCAGCAGATGACATAATGGCTCTGTCAGTGGACTCCCATGTAAGTTGACTTTGGTTCAAGTCCCAAACCTGACAGCTCAAATTCTTGCTGGACACGTGTGCATGCATGCCCAAGATCCCAAGAGGGGAATGGAGGAGAAAGGATTGTGGCATGGCCATCTCCCTCCGAGGGCTGTTTCTCATTCTATCTCTCCAGCAAGCATGCATGCCCCATGGCAAAAATCTCTCAAAAAAAAAGAAAAAAACAACTTTGATTTCATTACAGCGCAGGTATTCGTTTTAGCTCTCCTATTTTAACTAACATTTGATGCTTTGCTCACAACTAGACAAAGAGATTAAAATATCTTTATTCCTGTCTAGCAAATAGTAGTAGTATTACCTTAAAACATTCACTGTTATAATTCTGAATACAATGAAATGCAAGATAAAAACATCAAGGATCTCTGAATCAGAGGCAAAAAGAGATAAGTAATGATTGAATTTTTTAAGTTTATTTATCTCCTCTACAAGTGAAAGAGTGAGAGATGGATAGAGAGCACATGCATGAACCCCAAACAGGATCTCTACACCATACCCACTCACAGCCTATAGCGAGCCCCAAATTGTGGGCAAGCATGTTACCCAGCATACTCAGAAAGGTCCTGGACTTGAACCACAAAACTTCCTATGTGGGATTGCCTCACGAAATGGGGTTTACTGCTGTACCACCATCTGGCCAAGTAACAATTAAATTGCTGAAAACAAATATTTATACTTACACTAATGTCATTAAGAACATTAGATGCCTGTTCATGCTTTAGATTTCCTTTAATGACATGGTATGACAATTCATAGAGAGCTTGCTGGAAATCTGTTGAACAAAACAGAAATGGTGTGAGGACACAGTCTCTTGAAAATAAAAGGTAGAATCTGGGGGGAAATGTATGTATTTCCAATTTCTCAGAATTATAAACCTTAATAATAAAAAGGAAAATATACCTCTCATGCTTTTTCCTTTTATTTTCACAAAAACATAAAACTAAAAGTTTAGGAAAAAAGTAACCATTCCTCTACTACTGTAATATAACTATTCCTTTTCAGTCTTTTTCTGTCTACAGATTTTACATATTTGTATTCACTTTACACATTACTTGATATTCTAATTCCCCCACAAACACTTTTCAAAGCATTTTTTTCATTCTACTAAAGTCTTCACAATTATTTCCAATAACTGCATAAACCCCATCAAGTAGATAAAAACTTATCACTTTTCTCACCAGCAGACTTCGCAGATTTTTCTAAATATATTCAGATTATACTCAGTTCACTCTCAAGGCTACAATGACAACAATTAAGAAATAGCGGAAAACATAATACCAAGTTTTATCTATACCCTATTGTCAGAGAAATCACTCCTCAAATCTAAACAGCTTTTTCTCTTCAATTCCCATTAAAATTCAAATGAAAAATAAATATAATTGTGGAGCCAGCAGGTGGTATGGTGGTTAAGGTGGCTGGACTTCAACATGGCCGACTGTGGTTCAAGTCCTGGACACAGAAGATTGAAAATTATACTGGACATGTGTGAGTACATGCCCAAAATTCTGAGAGGAAAATGGAAAAAAAAAGTACTGTGGCATGACCATCCCCCCCCAGGGGGTGATTTCTCACTTTCCCTCTCTCTCTGTTTCTCTGGCTAGCACACACCCCCTATGGCAAAAACCTAAAAAATTATTTAAATAAATAAATATATTTGTTTAGAAAAACATAGAATGAATTTCTAAAAGAACTGTCAACAATAGGTAGCCCCACTCACTACTAATTACCAGAGTTCTCCTTCCTGGAAAAACACTTTTTTGTTTTTGGAAGGGGGAGTAAGTGAGTACCTCCTTCTGACCATCTTTTTCTTTAGTCCCACATACTAAAAACTTTACATACATACAATAATTAAGAATAAAAGAAGCGGCAGCTCTTAAATGCCAATGAAAATAAAGTCTATTTATAATTCTTTCTGGAGGAAATAAATTTTTTTCAGGGCAAAATAGCAAGTAAATTAAATACTTTTTTAAAAATTATTTTCTTCGTATTATTATTTTTTAATTTGACCACAGAGAGACAGAGGGAGAGAGAGGGGAAAATGAGAAAGCAAGCTGTCAGGTCTGAGACGCAAACCATGGCTGGCCATGTGGGAGTCCAATGCCTTAAGCACCAAGCCACCTGCTGGCCCCATAAATTAAATATTTTTAAAATATATTCTCCCCAGTATGGCTATTAGTCACTAACAGGAACATACAGAAAGCAAAATATGTATCGATCTATTTTTCTAGAAGCTTTTCCCTTAGGGTGTATGTGCTCACCAGAGAGAGACAGAGACAGTGAGAGGGAAAGTGAGAAATCAACCCCCATGGGAAATGGCCATGCTGCAATCCTTTCTCCATTCTCCACCCAATATCTTAGGCACACACACACATGCTTCCAGTGTGAGTTTCAAGCCATCGGGTCTGGGATGTGAACCACTGTCAGCCATGTGGGAGTACAGTGATATAACTGCTACACTATCTTCTGGTCTTATCAATTTACTTTTAACCAATGAAAATGCTATTCTGAAATGAAATAAATTTGTCCATTAAATTACTTGCTTAAAAAAAAGCCATATTAGCCCATTCTTTTATAAAGAATTTATTATTAAGTAAATTCTGCCCCTTTCATGGCTGTGCCTTGTTTGGGCTTATAAATCAACAAACTATAAAAAAAAAAGGGGAAATTTATATTTATTAGTATGGCAGGAATATGAGGTCAATTTTATTCTTTCCATTTCCATTAACAATGTTTTAAACAAATGATATTTATTTTAAATTATTCAAATTAATATCTTTTGGGGACCAGCAGTTTGTCTAATGGCTATGTCGCTGGACTCTCATGTAGTCTACTGGGTTCGACTCCCAGACCCGGTGGCTTAAACTCATGCCGGGCGCATGGGCGTGCGTGCCCGGGATCCCGAGAGGAGAATGGAGGAGAAGGAATTGCGGCATGGCCATCCCCCCTGGGGGGTGATTTCTCGCTTTCTGTCTCTCTGTCTGTCTCTGTCTTTCTGGCGAGCACACACGCCCTACAGCAAAAAACCTCTCCAAACCCCCCCCAAAAAAATTAGTATCTTTTTAAAAAGCAATCACTTAGAAGGACAAATCAGCTGACTATCATAAGCTAAATTCCCTTAAGAGTAAGTTCTCTGGTGTTCATCAGGACTCAGGGAATTCTAATCTTAAATCACAGAGGGAGATTAAAATCGAGAACAAATGGTCTGAGTGATTTTGCTGACACTGGAGTAACATAAAAACAATCACACTGTAATCAATATGCACATCATTTTGTATTCCAATTCTCCCATAAACACATTTAAAAGCATTTTTTCATGCTACTGAAGTCTTCATAATTATTTTCATTGACTGCATAAAACTCCAGCAAGTGGATATAAACTGAATTAGCAAAAATGAAAATAGCAAAGATAGTCTCCAATTCACAAGTTTCTAAATGCCTATTTAAAAGTGGTTGGGGAGGGACCAGCAGATGGCGTAATAGTTACATCTCTGGACTCGCATGTAGTCAACCATGTTTTGAGTCCCTGACCCAGTAAAACTTAAAAACTCACACTGGACATGTGTACCCAAAATCCAGAGAGGAGAATGGAGAAGGGATTTTGGCCTGGCATCACCCCTGGGAGATAATTTCTCTCTCTCTCTCTCTCTCTCTCTCTCTCATGCATATACCCTATAGCAAAAAAACTCTCTAAAAAAATAAAAGTGGAATGTGCCATAGTGGTTAAGGCACTGGATTCCCACATGGCTGACCGTGGTTAAAGTCCCCAGTCTGGTGGCATGCTTCCACTTTCCCTCTCTGTCTCTCTCTGGTCAAATAAAGAAATGATCATAATAAATACAATCAAATTAATAATTCTTTTTTTTTCTTTTCTTGGAGAGGTTTTCGCTATAGGACACATGCGCTTGCCAAAAAGACAGAGAGAGACAGAAAGCGAGAAATCAACCCCCAGGAGGGATGGTCACACTGCAATCTCTTCTCCTCCATCCTCCTCTCGGGATCTTGGGCACGCACACACGTGCCCAGCATGAGTCTAAGCCACCAGGTCCGGGACTCGAACCGCGGTTGACTACCTGAGAGTCCAGCAACATAGCCATTACGCTAACTGCTGGTCCCTTTTATTTTTTAAGAGAGATTTTTGTCATAGGGTGCACGCACTTGCCAGGGAAACAGAGAGAGAAAGAGAGACAGAAAGGAAGAAAACACCCCCATGGGGAATGGCCATGCCACAATCCCTTCTCCTCCATTCTCCTCTCCAGATTTTGAGCATGCAAGCACACACACCCAGCATGAGTTTCAAACCACAGGGTCTGGGCCTTGAAGCACAATCAACTATGTGGGAGTCCAGTGACGTAACCATTATGCCATCTGCTGGTCCCCCCCTCATGTGCCCTATAGCAAATTAAAAAATAATAATAAAATTAAATAAAATATGGGCCAGCGGGTGGCATGCTGGTTAAGGTGCTGGATTCCCACATGGCTGCCCACAGTTCAATTCCCGGACCTAACGGCTTTCTTTCTTTCTCTCTCTCTCTCTCTCTCTCTCTCTCTCTCTCTCTCTCTCTCTCTCGTAAAATTAAGAAATAATAACAAAATTTAAAAATAATTATTTAAGAAAACAATTAAAATAAAAGGGATAAGTCTTAGGAAGTCTTCCTTTATTTTATCCATAGAAACAGTAAGTTGTGTTTTTAAACTATCAGGCTAACCCCACAGAAGCCTATAAAATCTATGCTGCAGTTGAACAATTTTACATTTACATTTACAATAGGAACCCTGATACACAAAAAATTCAAAAAAATATTTTATCTTCACGCTAACATTTCAGGAGTTTTAAGAATATCCACTAGAAGGAACTTCTAGAAACCTAAGAAATTCTTTGTGGGGTTTGAATTTTGAAGACAACATTTCTTGGTTATATGTAATGTCATTGGTACTACTCAAGTTTATTAGCCATCATTACAATTTTGTTTTATTAATGGGGGTGGAGAATAAATTATAAAAGGAATATGGAAAAGTAGTAGGTGCAAGGGAAAGTGCCTGCCTGAAATAAAATTAACTCAAGGGAGAGACAGAAAGGGAAGGGCCAGAGGAAATACTACCCAAATTCAATCCCCCTAAGACAGACAAAGAGATTCTGAAAAAAATAACATTCAGTTTCTTCCACAGACTACCACGTGGGGTCCTCAATTCAAAGCATGACTGTTGGCAGAGATCAGTCAGAAGGGTGTGTGTGTCAAGGAAGCAGGCAGGGTAAGAGAATACTGGCAATACAGCCAATGAAGCCACATTTAAAACTATTTCTGGTTTTGTATGTGAATCAGAACAATCATGCAAATTAACAATAATCTAATAATTATTAAAGATCCATATAGTTCCATTTAAAACTGAAAGAACAGTCATACTGTGTTACACTATTTACTTTAAAGTTGATTTGGGGAAATTCTCTTTATTTTACACATTTAAGATTTCAATCAAGGCTAACTAAGAAGTTAAAAACTAATTTTAAATATGGAGGAATAGGGCAAATAGGTGGTATGGTGGTTAAGGCACTGGATCCCACATGGCCAACTCCACAGTTTGAGTCTCCCAGAACCGGGGGATTGAAAAACACCCTGGGCACATGTGCACGCATACCCAAAATCCCAAGAGGAGAATGGATGAGAAGGGATTGCTGCAAGGCAATCAGCCCTTGGGGTGACCACTTTCCCCCTCTGTCTCTCTCCAGCGAATGCACTGCCCTAAGGCAAAAATTTTTTAAAGGGGGGAGGGGAGAAAAATTTAAGTATACAAGTGTTTTCAGAAAGGAGTCATTTTGTACTTTCTTACACTTCTGTCAACTAACTTAAACAAGAACACATTTAATCAACCTCAAAAAATCTTTGAGTGATCTTTATGCCATTTTATAATCAGGAAAAACAAGGAAATGCTTTTGGGAATGGAAAGCTAGACATGTTAAATCTTAAAATGGGTCTCTCTCTCAGTGGTAGGGGAAAAATGTCTCTTTCATATGCTAAAAACATACTTTCCACTCAAGCATCCAAAGGTTCTTTAAAATGTATATCCTCTCAGTTTTGGTCGTAGAGTGCAGACACTCGGTATATATTATGTGGGGACATACCGTGTCTCTCCTTCATAGCCTGGCTTGCAACTGATTGACTAAAAAATATACAAACACTAGAGATGGGTGTGAATGTCAGATGTGGTGTGTGTGGAGGAGAGGGGCCTAGGGCAGAGACAGAGCATTGACAGGACGGGGAGGTGTGGTATAATCTGTTGAAGATATTTTGATCAACTGGACTGGGGAGAAATGTTCACATATTGAAATGTTCACTTCATAAGCTAAACAATGCCATTGAATGTATATAAAAAATAAATTAATTTTAAAAATGTATATCTTCTCATACAAGGGCAATTTAATATTTAACTTTTGATAATACAAAAGTTAATTTATCCATAGGAAACATTCTATCCTTAATCTTCTATCTGCAAAGGCATCATTTCAATGATTATAAGATTTTATATCTAATGATTTGGGCTTAAAATAGTATATTGGTGGGATCAGCAGGTGGTATGGTGGTTAAGGTCCTAGACTCCCATATGGCTGATCATAGTTAGAGTCCTGAACCTGGGGACTTGCTTTCTCACATTCCCTCTCTCTCTCTCTGGTCAAGTTAAAATAATAATAATAATAATGAATAAAATTAAATAAAATAATTCTTTAAAAAATAGTG